AACAGTCTTGTATCAGACGTGTCTCTTGAAAGTTGTTTTTCCTAGTCTGTAGTGTGTGTCCTCATTCTCTTGATTGTATCTTTCACAGAACAGACATTTTTCATTTTCACAAAGTCCAGCTTATCAATTGTTTTTTTTCATGGATTGGGCCTTGGTGTTGTATCTAAGAACTTTTTCAAACCCAAGGTCATCCAGATTTTCTCCTATGTTATGTTTTATGGTTTTGTCAATTTCCTTTATTCCCATAATTCAATTTTAGTTAATCTTTGTGAAGAATGTAAGGTCTATGTCTAGATTTATTTATTTTTGCATGTGGGCACGCAGGTATTTCAGTACCATTTGCTGTTTTTCCCTTCTGTTTCTTCCAGGATTTTCTTTCTCTTTATTTTCTTCAATTTGAAAATGAGATACCTGGATATTTTGGGGCTTTTATCCTGTTTGACACAAGCTTCCCAGATCTGTGCTTTAACATCTGGCATTATTTTGGAAGACATTTCCACTTGTCATTGTTTCAAATATTTCTTCTGTTCTTTTTTCTCTTTCTTCTCCTGGTATTCCCATTTACGTCTATGTCACAACTTTTGCAGTTGTCTGGAATTCTTGAATAGTATGTCTTATTTTAAAATTCCAGTTTGACCCTTCTGACATTCTGCCATTTGAGTCTGGTCTGATACTTGCTCTGTCTCTTCAAATTGTGCTTTTTTTTTTTTTGCCTTCTAGAATGTCTTCTTTTTTTTTAAACCCTGGATATGATGCCCCAGTAGAGTTTCTGAGAGATTTCTGCCCCTGGGTCTCTGATCCGCTAAGTTGAGATTCTTACATCCACTCGTCTGTCTCTCCGGCTTTGGAGGTCGCGTGCCCTGTGACCGCAAGTCTCTGGCAGATCTAAGAAGGGTTGTTGGTTTTCAGTTTTTTCAGCTTTTTACTTGTTGCTGGGATGGAGTGACAACCTCCTAACTCCTTGTAGGCTGGACCAGAAACCGGAAGTTGCTCGGAGTAGTTTAATTTTCATTTCTCTAATTATGATGGAAGTTGAGCGCACTTTCAGTTTTCTTCTGTGTAATGGACATTTGATTCCTTCTGTGAACTTTGCCCATTCACAGCCTCCTCCAGTTTAAACATTGAATTATTGGTCTTTTTCTTCTTTATTTTCAAGAACTCTTTATATATTAGAGAGCTCAGATCTTTGTGAAATGAGTCGTAGTCCTCTCTCCCTCCCAATTTTTCCATTTGTCTTTTGACTCTGCGTATGGTATATTTTTGCCTTGCAAAATTTTTTACTTTGAAGCAGTAAATTTCTAACTATTTCAGTGATTTCTGGATTCTGAGTCAGAAATGGATCTAAAAGATTTTGAAATCAAGAGGAATATATTTATTATTGTCGTTTAAAATGCCACATACCAAAGCCACTTCTGTCTCTCAGAAGAGTGCCCACCTTCCTCTCTGGAGCACAGAGAGTTTGCTGTGGCAAACTCCCCTGTGAACCATTCACTGTGGATGATGGGCCTCGAAGAGGAAGGCACAGAGAGGAGAAAGAATCTGCTCTGCCCAATAAAGTGAGCGTGTGCCCGCTTCTGGAAGTCGCCCCGGGAAGGGCCCCAGGGAGGAGCCGAGGGAGAGTGGAGGGAGCCTGTGGATCCACCCACGGAAGATGTCCAGGTGGGGTGGGGCGGGGTGGGGTGTGGAAAGGCATGAAGGTGTGGCGTGCAGTTTCGCGTTGCCTGCCGCACTGTACTACTAGTTATGCACAGACACAGCCAAAATGAAGAGTGGGGTGAGGTGTGGCCGGGATGGCAGGGGCCTGAAATGGATCACCAAAGAGGCAGGTAAGAAGTTGAAGCCAGGGTCTGACTCAGGAGTGACTGTGAGACACTCTTCTTCCCAGATAGAGAGAAGAAGGGGTGAGGGGAGAGGGAGAGACAGACAGACAGACAGACAGACATCAATTGGTTGCCTCCCGTATGCGCCCTGACCGGGGATTGATCCCACGACACTTTTGGTGTGCGGGACAATGCTCCAACCAGCCGGGCCACCTGGCCAGGGCCCCACTGACTGCGTTTTGACATGTGCCCCAGCGCCAGCAGGCAGCAGGGCAGAGTTTGTTCTTTCCACGAGAGTTATGCAAGCTGGGAGTCTCCACACACCTTCCCTCAAATCCGTTCTCTCCCCCAGCAGCCTCCCTGCATAGTCTTGGCTCCAGCTGTTGTTTGCAGAACTTCCGTGTGGAGATCACTGTAGGAACGAGAGCACCTGGGGGCTTTGCTGAGCCTGAGCAAAGCGTGCATCTCGGAGGGCGAGTCCTCAAGTGAGACTGAAAGCCGCCCTGAGCTGGGGCTGCAGCTAAAGCCCTGGATGTGTCCTCCCACACCGCCTGCCACGCACGTCACAGACTGAAGCGCTGTGAACCCCTGCATTACCTTTGCAGTGCTCCGAGGCTGAAAGGGTTCCTGTAAATGCTCCCTGTAATTAATTATAAACAAAGCAGCCAGCCAGCTGCGTAACGCCCCTGAAAAACCTCAGCAAGCATCGTTTTGTGCTCTTTATTTCTCCTCTGCGTGTCTATCCATCCCAAACTCCAGAAGAGTAGTCCTCCTTAATGACAGATTCATGATGATGAGACCATTATTATATCTTGATGCTGTGGTTTTAAGAAGCAACCCAGAAGACAAGCTTTGAAAACCACCCTTCCCCACTCTCTTTTACCCCAAGCAAAAAACCAGATTAAAAGAGCCCTTGTTTGTGTGAATATTCATGCTGGATCCTCTACAGATCAGATTGGAGGAGTTCATCCTCCCAGGCAAAGACAGATCCCGTGCTCTGATTTAATGAGGAGCTCACACGTCCGTAGCATACTGATGCGTCGGTTGTCAGGGAGTCCATACAGCACAGTGAGTGTGCATCTTGGGGCCAAAGCGAGGTGCCACCTTTGTCACTTTATGCCACCAGGACAGCTGTCGCTGGGACGAGGACTCCCAAGACACCCTGTCTCAGGTGGAAGGAGGAGTTGGGATTCTAGTCTTCACATACCTAGGAAACTGCTCTCGACAGTGCCAGTGAGTGTATTTATTGGTCAGAGGTGAATTCTTTTTGTTTTTATTTTTTAAAAAGATGTTATTTATTTATTTTTAGAGCAAGGGGAAAGGAGGGAGAAAGAGAGGGAGAGAAACATTAATTGGTTGCCTCTTGCATGTGCCCTGACCAGGGACTGAACCCACAGCCCAGGCCTGTGCCCCGACCTGGAATTGAACCAGCAACCTTTTGCTTTGCAGGATGATGCCCAACCCACTGAGCCACGCCAGGTCTGAGGCAAATTCCTCTAATGAGCGTTTCCCAAGAGCATGTTGCCCAGCTGGAAGGCTGCTGATAGCTCCCAAACCAGGAAGGGGCTGTAGGTCAGAAATGTTGGGTCAATGATGAGCTGTGCGTCCAGACTTCCAGACAGTGGAGTTCTTCCTACTCACAGCTCCCTCCCAGCACAGGCGCCCTTTCTGTGTTGTGTACCCCCCGCAGGCTGCAGAAGCCTGCGGACCCCTTCTCCGAGCCACGTTTTTAAATACAAATAATGCAAAACATAGAGATCTACAAAGAGAAGTAATTGTGCCAAAACCAAATGTCGCACTGCTAAAAATATTCTGAAATATTTAAACATGGGCACACACTAATATGTGGGCTTCTTTTTGGGGGGTCTAGCAACTACAGTTGTTTTAGAATATTCACGGCCATAAATGATATTTCAGGACATAGTCAATACGCATTATTTGCAAAGTCTATATTTGTGAATTTGCCTTCTTGCTAAAATGTACTTGTAACCCCTATTTGATCAGTGAAAAATTTCAGTCTCTCGACCTGCGCGTCCCCAGCTGAGGTTGAATAAGGCGAAGCTCTGCCTTTTGTAAACAAGGGTTCTTTTCCTGGTTTATTTATTGCCACATGTTGGGCCCTTTTGTGCTTTTTGTTGATGGTTTCACTGCTGACAGTGTCATCTGAGCGTGATGCTAAAATACTGTCTAGTGTTTCTGAGGACAAGAAGGCTGTGATGGGCCCGATGGTGAAGACAGATGTGCGGACAAGCTTCTTTCAGAGGTGAGTCCCAGGGCTGCTGGCCCTCAGTTCCATGTGATCAATCAGCTATACATTAAACAAGGCACCTTTAAACCGAGAGCGCTCCTAAAACAAGGTTCTGCATCGATCGGCCGATGATCACGTGGTGATCAGAGGCCTGCTGGGACGTCACCTGTATTTCTCGGTCAGCCTAGGAGCACAGGTTCAGTACTGGCCAACTGAGTGGTCAGGGCAACTTTATAGACACAACTGCCCTGAATAATAAGAGTCGGTTGGATCTGCAGCAAATGCAGTGTGGGGGGAAACGTGAGACAGGGACAGCAGCAGCAAAAGCAACACAAGATGATTAACTTGACTAGTATTCTTGAAAATAGACACTAGAAGATCAAAAAAGTAATTTGGAAGCATTTAAAAAAGTGGATGGATTAGATAGAATTCTTTCTAAAGGAAGACAAAAATTTAGTGTTGTATTCTCTGGGTGTATCTTGACACTGAATGATTAAGATTTCAGATTAAAAAAAACAGTAACTAAACACCACGACAAGTATTGGTATTTTGGTGCTTAAGAATCACACGAGATGTTGGAACACAAAAACCAGTGGTGTAATTAGCAAGATGTCATATGCGGGATGCAGAATGTAGGAAGATGTGTCTGTTGATGAGGGTGTCTGGGGGGTACACAGACTGCCCCTCACATCTGTGCTTGCCACCAGAGACAGGCGAGGGAGGTGACATGCCAGTGAAAATGGGGTGCAATCAAATTTTTCAGCATTCCTGTGCTTTGGTGGTCAGAAAACTTCCACAGCACAGCACACAGAGAGTGGGCCCCCCATTGCTCCCACACAAAAGAAATGATACAGGGCTTCCCCATTTCACAACAATCCTAAAACTGTGCATGACCTCACCACTAATAAGTGGTATAAAGAAACTCAATGGAATTATCAAACATAAGCAACCACTTTTATTTTTTGGTTCCATCTGCAGACAGTGACATCACAGAACCACTGCCGTAGGAGCAGGAGATCCGATGCTCAGCCCAAGGACGTCAGACAAACCTCCAAGGAAAGAAACATTTTCTGACTAGGGAAAGTCACTGTTTTCTGACTTTGTGGGGATCATGGTATTTGTCAACTTAAAGAAATGTGTACTTCGTTGTGATTTGTTTTCTAAGTAAATATTCAGGTTTGCACCTAATTTTCTGTTTATAGTTTTTTGGGGCGAGCGTCCTTGGCAGCCAGCCAGCAGCCTTCCCAAAAGGAGCCCTCATTCAGGGTCACCAGTGAGGCTGGGTCAGTCCCTGGTACACCGAGACCCTGACCTTGACCCTGACCCTGACCCTAACTCTGACCCTAACCTCAACCCTGGATAAGCTGCCTGACATGCTGGATTTCTCATTTGTTTTTACGACAATTAGCCATTCAAGGGTACAGATGCTCCCTTGCTTGCAATGGCACCCAAAGCACTTGATTCAAGGTTACGTATGCACAGGTCAGTTGGCAGGGAACTGACCCCGGCAGCCCACAGGCTCACAGAACCACGCCTTCATGCAGACACGCGCTTCAAGGGGAGAAAGCCACTGCAAAGATGCTGCTATGGAGAGCCTCACGGGTCTGGGAGAGAGTAGCCCCTATGACAAACTTCTGTTTCCTGAAGCTCCCAGAACGCACATCCCTTGGGGACCTAGTGTCCCCCTTGGTCTCCAAACACCTGTTCAATCTGGGGGTTGAACGGATTCTCCTTTCCCAGCACCTCGGGCCACTGGAGCTGCACCTTGTCCCAGAGCGCCTCAGCCAGCAGCTGCAAAGCCACCTGCGGAGAGGAGTAAAACGCAAATTACAACCAAGGAAAACAGCGCCCAGCAGGGTTTCCTCTGCTCTCCGTGTGCAGAGGACCACTCTGGGATGGTCCCCGTGATCCAGACCTCCGCGTCTCTGTGTGCTCCCCCGCTGTTGCTGAGGGTGGGACCTAACACTTGGTTCTGACCAACAGAGTACGTTGGAGGTGAAAGGCTGTCCCTGGAGCGACGATGTGACGTCCTGTAAAACCCTGCTCTGCCGGGTGTGCTCCTCTGGAGCCTCCCCTGGCTGCCTCGCTGCAGGAAGATGCCCATATGGCGAGGGGCGCTGGTGGCCTCCTGCTGACATCTGACTAGAAGCTCTGTCCTATGACCATAAGGAGTGAACTCGGCCAACAACCCAAGAGAGTGTAAAGGTAATTCTTCCCCTGTTGAGTCTCTGGATGAGAACGTGGCCTGGCCGACACACCTGGATGTTAGCCTTGGGAGACCCTGTGAACTTGTGCTAGCTCTCCTGACTCATGGAATAAGAAATGAGGATTGTTAAGCTGCTAACTGTGTGCTAATTGGTGATTTAATAATAGCGGTACACTCGCCCAGAGAGCGGTTTGTCTCTTTACCTGCAGACAGCTCACATGTACTGCAGGCCTGAGGCTGGGGTCTGGGAGAGGAGGGACTCCCAGTCTGGTGAGTGAATCAGGCAGGGAGGGGTGGGGGTGGGGGCAAGTCTGCCAGGGGCAGGGAGGGGACAGGTCTTCTCAGAAGAGGGTGACAGCTGAGCCGAATTTTCAAAGAAGGGATCACGAGGTGCGTCACGTGGGGAGCAGTGCGAGGGCAGAGGACATGCTGTGCGTACGGGAGGGCACAGAGGTGTGGTGAGGAGTGGCAGGCAGGGGACCGCCAGGTGCCTGGGCGATGAGGCTGGACAGGTGGCAGGGGCCGGTGGGATGGGAAGGCGCTGTGGGTCCGTGTCTGGCCCCCAGCCTGACGCTCACTCTCTGGCTGCATTGCTGTCCACCAGGTTGCTCTCCATTCGCCATGTTAGTGATTGGACAATCCATTGTCCAATCCTCTGTCTCATCTCGAACATGCTTTTGATGAGCAGTCTTCCTCGGCAGATAACACCCTCATTCAGTTCAGAAGTGGGGCCTGGCCAGGCCTGCAGGTCCCAGCTGGCTCGGGTGGCACTGGGGCTTTTAAGGCTCATGATGCAGGAACTGCGAAGGCCGGTGGTCTCAGAGGGGGACGCATTGTTCAGGGAGGATGTGTGCGGCCAGCCTGACTTTGTTCAGGGCAGGCGGGCGTCGTCCCACAGGCAGGTCCTGTGCCCCATTCTGACCGGCACTGCCCGTGTGGTGGTGCTGGGCAGCCTCTTCCATCCCAGGGGCTTCCGTTCTCTCACCTGCCAAGGGGGCAGCGGGAAAAATGGTCGAAAGACTCTCTGGGTCTCAGCTGTGTTCAAGACTTAGCAGTTGTTTGGAAAAATGAGAATTGATTGAGTCGCTGCTTTAAATAGCCCCAGTGTATTAATATGTTCCTGAGCCTGCTGAGCTGAACCCCAAATCCTAGCATCCAACTCTGCAATCTTGATCATATCCATGTGGTGTCAAACATACCACACACACACATCACACACACCCCACACACTACATACACCACAGCCCCACACGGCTGACTGTGCAGCGGCTGTTTCTGGGAGGGTCTGACCTTCTGGCACACACAGCGGTCAGGGCCTCTGAGGGTAGAGGGCGGGCCTCACAGCTGTGTCACCTGCTCTTTCCCCACGTGGGAGGCTGCTGCCCGGTCTGTAGAGAATTATGGGTCGCTCTTGTTGGTCTGTGGCCTGTGAGCTTGGAACCCACACACTGTCTTCCTAACAGTGAGGTGGGGCTGAGGCTTTGCGATCACCCACCTCCCTGTCTAAAGTGATGAGGCAGGAGACAGGTGCGTGGGGATGCACAGAGGTAGAAGGACACAGACTTGAGCATGTGGTGGCTGTTTGGTTTGAGAGCCACTCCAGTGGGGATGCAAATATTTGAGTGGGCATCACTAATATCGTGAGTCTAACGTGAGAGTGGCATTGCTATCACTAAACCAGAGATGTATGATAAAAACAACCCACTCTAAGCAGTCATGCCTCTGAGAGCCACTTCCCAAGCACCTGCGGGGGATCGTCCCAGAACCAGCCTCCTCTCGTAACTCCCACCACACACGGCACAGGCAGAGGGTGGGGGCTGGGGGATGCGCTGCCCTTCTCCTCTCTCCTGACTCCAAACGAGCTCTTCCCCAAATCCAGGCAGTGATGGGGCTCCCTCAGTCAGAGTCTAAAATGGTAAAGCAACCCAAATGCTTTTGAGAAAAATTTAAAAAAGCAGTAGAGCAAAAAGAGAGAAACAGAGTGAATAAGAATCCATCTGCAAGTATAAAGAGAGATGCTGCTAACACGGGGTGTAGAGGCTTTCGGACGCACGCGCGCGCGCGCGCACACACACACACACACACACACACACACACACACACACACTGGATCCCTCTGTAAATTCCATTCTGCAATTCCTCCCGTTGCGGTGTGATTTACACACAGTGAAGTGAACTCCAGTTCGTACACAGTCCTGTGAGTGCTGACAAATGCATGGAGTTGAGCCATCACGCCCATAACCATCTTTAATCTGCTACTATTTACTTGGCTCTTATTACAAACATATTTCTGTGTCACTAAAGGTAGATCAATACCACTGGTTTCACTTGGTGTACTGAGTTTCATCAGATGGATGCACGCTAATTTATTGTTCCCGCGGAGATTTCTGCCACGCCTTTTCCTAGCACTTGTCATCGGGACCGGGGATGGAGACAGTGTCCTCCCGCCAGTGCACAGCGGGTGGGGGTGGGGTCCAGAGGCTGCCTTGGCCACTCACCCTGCTGCACACAAGTGTGGGATATGCTCTGGTCCAGCAGAACCCTGGCAAATGCAGGGGCTCTGGTGTAGTGGGATCTTCCGGTCAACCGAGCTAGACCCTGTGGGTCTGGTCTTTTGTTGTGGACTCTCACAGGGCTCGGTGACAGGGCCCAGACAGCTGCCCCATGGGTGGTGCTGGTTTGTCCAGGCATCACGGCCATGCGCGACATGTCTGGCCCTTCCTTGGGTACGCCCACATCGGCTGGTCACCGGCACGTGTCTGCAGGGTCCTGCCAGGTGCTTCTGCAGCACATGGCCACCTGCCTGTCTGCCTGTGGTTGCTGCTTCGAAACGCCCCTGGTGCCTGAAGCAGGTGGGGCCGCTGGTCCACAGCGAAGGCTCCTCTTCGAAATTTTCACAGAAGGGGAAAGAGAGCAACCTAACACACCCTTGGCTGATGGAAGATTTCGGGGAAACCGTCCTTTCTGTTTTTATTCAGTGCTCCTGATCTTCCCAGGATTCAGGCATGAGTTCAGAGTGAGGGGACCGGGACCTGCTGCCCTTTCTTAATTGGGCCCTGGTGACAGCCTCCTGATGGCTTTTAGAATTTCTCTCCTTCTGATAATAACTTTTAAGGGGAGCCGCGTGTGCTTGCTTACCCATATTTGGACTTATCTTCAATGTAAGAAACATCCCAAGCTGGAGGGAATTTTTATAAGATTGTATGTGCATCTCTTGGACACAATTTCCGGGTAGCAAGATCGCAAATGGTCTGGCGAGTACCAGCTTGGCCGTTCCGTATATGCATTCAGAACTGAGGGAACGTGAGCAAGATTCCAGGGGAGTGGGAGAAGGCAAGGTGGGGACGAGGTTACAGGGCGGTTAGAAGATTCTGTGCTTTCTCCAGGGAGGTTTCCCTTGTGTCAGAGCTGTGTGAACCTAGATGCACAAGGGCAATGGCCAGGGCTTGCTTAGGGGAAAGAGAAACCTTTTACGGAGAAGTTACACGCTGGGGTGTGACTGTCCACCACGACCTGCTCAGTTAAAAGTTTGTGGTCAGATCTCCCTGCGAGGTCACTTCCCACAGAACCCCCCCTTTGACCACATTATGGTGAGTTCTTCCCTAGGGGAGTCCCTTGTTCTCCAAGAAAATGCCTTACATCAGGCAGGTCCACCCCATGTGTCCGTGAGACACGCGGGGACGGGGCGGAAGCCTGGCGCTGGTCACAGCTGGGTGTTACCTGGTGTTCTCCCACGCTCCCACTTCATAGGCTAACTAACTATAGATATGTTGCTCCTGAAATAGAGCTCTTGAGTCAGTCAACCATAAAATCAAACCTGACAAAGTAGCTGCATTTTGGTAATACTTTAAAAGAAGAAATGTAATTCAGAGCCAGATTATATAGTTTGGGCCAAAAGCTCTTCATGGCTTGACCCCTGTTCCATTGAATCCTTGCTGAATCCAACTCCAGGTGCTACAAAACCCAGGTTAGAAATCCAACCTGAATCTGTCTTTCCTGCAGGATGCAGGCTCTGGGCTGTCTTGGTAGGATGCTCTTCGTCACCTTTCCACCGGGCGGGCCTGGCTTGGCTTCTGCGGCCTCTTCACCTGTCCAGGAACACGGTCCAGGGGGCTTCTGACCACTTCTGATCCCCTTACTTTTAAAGCTGTGAACTTTACCACCTGACCATGGTAAGGTGTACGAGACACTTAGATTTAAAGCCCCAGCCCCTCTGTGCTGATTCAGTATCGGTACCAAAACTTGCTCGTTGGTACATAAAGCAAACTGAGCAGACCTGGTCCTTGAGGCGTGGGCAGGGCTGGCTGAAAGTGATGGCTGTTTGAGGACTCCCTGGCCCCTTGTCACTGCTGGCATAACATCTTGGTTTTTCTGAGGGACCCTACAAGTTTGTCCAGAAATTTAGGTTCCCAGGGGCTTGCCTGTTGAGACAAATAAAGACCAGGAGGCTATAAACTTATTTAAAACCAGTCCACTGAGTATGTATCTTGTCTGCTTCATGCAGTGTACAGGGTTCAGGGCTTAAGAGAGGGGAGGCGGTTGCCATCACGGGAAATTTCTTGCTTGCAGGGGGCTTTTAGGAAGATGGTTTGAGTTGCTACGGGCACTAGAGAGGAGAGGAGGTTGCTTCGTGTAGAGCTGTGCTGGGCAAAGCCACCAGGACAGGCGGTGTCGAGATGTTCAGCTGGGTGGTCCTGGGGCAGCCCAGGAAGCTGGCCTTCACGTGTGTCTGTGGCTCTTCCCACGTTTCCTGTTTACCGTGTTCTGATTTCAGGCCCAGAGATCTTTTAAGTGCCTCTTCAGGTGCTTAACTTTGCAGAGACTTTGAAAAGCGGCTGCTTGAAAAGGTTGACTTGCTGCATTTTGCACACGTCCTAGATCTGAGTCTGGGTCTTGGCCATATCATTTTTGTTTCCTAAGTCAAACTTTCTTTGCATTTTTGTCAGCAGTCTGACTGGTATGCCCAACTCTCTGCTACACCTGCTCTCACCAGCGTTACCTAAGGCTCTCATAGGCCCTGGTTCCAGTGAGTTCTGTGAAGAGCTGCAATTCCCGCCTTGCTGCAGTCACGCCAGTATAGTCCCTCTCCTTTAACTGTGGCAGGACCTGTCACTTGCTTTTAATGGTGGCTCCTCACCATGAACGAGCTAGGAACTGAGACCCTCCGTTCAACAGGCCTCAAGGAATTAAATCCCACCAATATATGCATGTAAGTTCAGAGGCAGATCCCTCCCCGGTCTAGCACACCATGAGGCCCAGCACTAGCAGACACCTTGCTTACAGCTTGGGGCCGTGGGGGACACTGGGGTGGAACACCCCGCTGGGCTGTGCCTGGATTCCTGGCCCCAGGAACTGTGAGGTATGAAATGTGTGCTGTTCGAAGTATGCCGTATGTAACAACCAATAATGAAAACACTTCTCAGTCTTAATCTTCTGGGATCTTTACTTTCCTTCACAATTTGACGACTTGGGCCAATGTCATCTCCCCAAATGTCTCCAGCTCTTCACTGGAAGCTGGTGGTTCCCTAACCTGCCTCCAGGCCAGACCCCTCTGCTGAGCTCAGAGCCCATGCGGCGTCTGACCCAACGGCTGTTGTGAGAGCCCCACCTGGGTACTGTGCAGGCAGCTCTAATTCAGCTCTCATGTCCTTCCGCTGAGTTTCTTGGTATGTGGTTTTGACACCTTTTCACCCAGCCACCCAGTTCCGTGTGTCATCTCCGGCCTCCCTGCCAGATCCCACCAGTCACCTGGTGCTTGTACTTCCTTCCTGCCACCCTTACACTGGAAAAGGCAGTTCTCAAAATTCTCGCTCTGCATCTTGGGGTTGAGATTAAAGGTAAAACAGCTATAAGTCTGTATATTGGGAATTTTTATAAGCTTGTTTATTTTCCATAAAAATATAAGCAGAGTTCTGATAGTGAATATACTTTGGTTCAAAAATTATCAAGTATAAATCATAACTTTGAACTGTTCAACACAACCCATGTTCACATCTATTAAACTTGTCTCCCTAAAATAATTGGAGCAGCCGAACCAGTAGCAAGTACTTGATTCTTCCTGCTTCTTGGTCAAGGTTTTAGGACAAAATAGGCCCACGTGGCCAAGGCTGGTCCCTGCTGGAGGCAGGGGACCTCCACGCCGTGTCTCTGCCCCTCGGGGTGTCCTATTCGTCTGGATGAATGTGGCTTCTTTAAATCCTTGGTTGTTGGACTTCCACATGGCTGAATTTTCTGACAATTCTGGGTGATATTTGTCTTGTAGTGTAGCTGTATTTTTTGCTATAGTTGTGTGCAGAGGCGAGGCATGTGTACCTATGCCTCCATCTTGACTGGAAGTCCTTCTTCTAATATTATTTTTAATAAAGACACATCATGAGTCAGTCCAGTATGTGTTACAGATAGAAGTGAAGGTTCCCTGGCTGCAGCCAGGGTAGTGGACGAGGCCGAGGCAGGAAGGGACGGCATTCTGCTGTCCACCCCCTTGCTTTTCTTTCCCGGTGTCTTTCCTAGAAGGTTCCATGGGAAAGATTTCTTACAGAGTTCACTTTCAGGAAAACTTCTGATTTTTTTGTGTGTACTTGGAATCATTTATCTTATGGAGTCCGCTGCTTATGCCCCTTTGCCCTTGAAAAGCCCAGAGCTGATGTTGCAGGTGCTTACCGACACCTTTCAGAACTTCCCTGCACACGCTACATGAATATGAATTGCGGACATTAAGCCAAGAAGCCATTTCTACCTTGTTTTCCTTTCACTCAATTTTCACTGAATCTTTTATTAAAGCACCTGTGTACATCGCCTCAGATAATTTCTGGCATGCATAATTATATTAAAAAAGGTAACAGCCTTGCTTGGGGCATCGTCCTGTCCACCTGAATGTTGTGGGTTTGAGTCCCAGTCCGGGCATGTACAAGAGTCAGCGGATCAATGTTTCTCTCTCACATCCATGTTTCTCTCCTTCTCTCTTACGTTAAACATATCATTAGGTGAGATTTCAAAACAAAACAAAACAACAAAACCAAACCCTAACAGCTTGTGTTCAGCAACCACTGTGTGGACATGCTCACCTCGTTGGGGTGGAATCCATCGACGGGCTCGATGAGCTGCCAGGGCTGCCCGCCTCTCTCTTGCCACTTCTTGGTAACTGCAGGGCACAGACACAGCCAGAGGGTTAGTGACGCACTGCCACTGCAGCAGTTGGGGAGCAGGGACAGAGTGTGCAACGTTGTCAGAGCCGCCCACTGCCCTCCTGAGCTGTGGCCACCCGGCCTGGCTGCCTGGGCCATTATCTTGGGCTCGGGGCTTTCTGGGCAGAAATGATCTTCCCGTGTGCGGTTTGCCTTTTCCCCTGACTCAGGAGGAGCACTGTGCGAGTGTTGGGTAAATGTAGTTGCACAGCGAGGAAAGGCAAGTGCCCGGGTATTCGGCACCCGCTGCAGTCCATCTCGTTTCCCAGGGGCCAGTGGGACAGGATTGTGGGGGCAGGAGGGGAAATCAGACATTTCAATGTCGCCTTCCAGGGGCCGCCATTGCTGGATGCTGCCTGCACGTGGCCAACCGTCACCACAAAAAAAATCACAGTTCGTCTGAAATGTGATTAGGTAAAATTATCTCAACATCACAGTTAGAGTGAATAGGGCTACAGAGGAAATAGTTTGAGCCCCAAAGTGATGAAAAGCAATAAAACTGTCCTTCCGTAGGAAATTTCAAATCTTAGAGAGCCTCTGGGGAGAAAAACGTGAAACCCACTGCCCCCTGGAGCGGCCCATGTCCCCACTTCCCCGGCACCGGGACAGGGGAGCAGGCACAGCCACGATTCCTCCAGGTTGTCCCTCTTTCCCCCACGGGAAACCCAAGTAAAGGCGTCTCCCTCTCTTGCCCCAGGGGAAATCCTACAGGGGGTCTTTGATTGGACAAAAGAAGCTGGACTTTCCCAGAGCTGAATCGATATTACGCTGCTTTTATAATTAGTCCCAAGATCACAACATGCCATCTGCACCTGCTACCCAATCCCTGTCCCCAGAGGGGCTGTAAATCCTGCTGTCCTTCTCCGAGCTCAGGAAAGAGACCCTGCTGCTGGTTTGCAGCCCCTGACACGGAGCCTCCTATGCGTGTTGGCGTCCCCCCTGGCAGGATGGCTGCCACGGAGACAGTCTTTTATATTTTGCATCTGGGAGGTTGTTGGAAGCTGTCGGAAAGTGGCCTTTGCATTTCTTGGGAAGCTCAAATCGAGGACAACATCCATTGTGTTCTCCACAGGGGGTCCCAAGGGAGACATAGCTTCGTGCTGTCGGATGGCGCCTCCCACTGGAGGAGTGGAACCTGTCTGCCCTGCTGCAGGGAAGCTCAGAGCTGGAAGGGTGCCAAAACCACGGGAACATTGGCACAGGCTGGTTCTGCTGAGCTGGCTTGCAGACCTCAGCACCTGCCCCTGGCCGTCGGTACCCTGCAAAAGGCAGAGCCCTGGAGAAGCTTGCCTGGCTTGTCTTCAGTGTGCCTGGCTGCTTTGCTTGTTTTTGAAGGAGAGACCTTGGAATCAGACTTTCTGCAGCAGGTTCAGTTCTGGCTGCTCTGGACCTGACTCTTCACAGCTCCTGTGGGCTGTGGCCGCCCTCCAAGAGATCAAAGGCTGCAGCAGCAGGTCCTGGGCACCTGCTGTGCACCCACCCGTGCTGGGTTCAGCTCTTCTTTCTCCTCCGTGTCCAAGAGGATGGGTCAGTCTCCTACTCTTTTTTCTACTTTATAACTTTATATTGACTCTCTCTCTGAGCCACCTCCAATCTGGACAGTAAGTGACCGTTCAGAGAACACCAGGCACTTGGAAGTGTTTCTTCAAACGCAGAGCCAGTGTCATCCCTGGTCACCCCCCCTGATGCTTCTCTTCTTTTGTAGTGTTAACCTCATTGTCACCTAGCAGTCCCACAGGGTCCATTAAGTCCCCCCACCCAGCTGTCTCATAAGAGGTCAGTGTCCCAGTCCTCTCTGTGACTTCAGAGGTGACTCGGATTCCCTTCCGCCTCTGCTCCTTTACTTCACCCACATTCTCGCTGTCCTTTCTCCCACTTCTCCCTTTACTTTTAGGGTGGTTTGCCTAATGTGATACAAATGTTAAAAAGAGAAAGAAAAGAAAGAATGAAAGAAAATCCCGACTGGCTGTTAAATTCCCAGGCTAAGAAGACAGCAGGAGCCGAGCTCAGTGAGAACCGCAGACAGAGCCTGCTGGGAAGGTGCGGAGTTGCAGGAATAAAACGTGAAGACTGTGTTGAAGAGGGGGACCTGAACCGGTCCCCCACGCAGTCTCTTAGGACACTTTCTGTCTCGCCACACTTGCAGAGAAGGTTGAGTGACACCTTGAATGCAAACCTGTGTCTTCAATGGCCAAAAGAAAATTCCAAAAGAATGACCACGATTGGGAAATGTGGGAAACTCGCCGCAGAAAGCAAACTGAAGCCCTACTGGGGACACACCATTTTAGTGAAGATCGTGTACCTGGAGAGAGATGTTTACTAGGAGCCCGATTTTAAAACACTCAGACTCACTTATACCTGAGTTTTCCTCCATTGCAATTCAATTTTGGCACCCAGGCCTAAAGTCAGTCTGGGCTCTTTCCATTTTGATTTAAATTTTTGGTGTGCATCACTAATGACCACACTAAAAATCCTGGCTCCTAGAGAGAAGCAGAGATGGGGATGGATGTAATCTGTGATGGAACAAATGAACATAATCCAGCCATCAGAATTTGTGACTGTTTTCCAAAACGAGAAGAGATAGTCATTCCTATTCTCCTTGGAGCAGCTGAGTGATCCCAGGAGGTAGGGATTCTGAAGAGAAAACTGTGCAACCAAAGCCTAAGGGAAAGAAAAGGGATATTGAGTTGCTGAGTTTTGCAAGGTTGCGGGGTACACCTCAGGGTGGGGGCAGTGGGAGAGGCCCACATTCTGTGATGACCTGACTCCCTCGCTTCTGAAGGACATCAGTGATAGCATAGTCCTCTGTCTCCTCACCCCCTCTCCTCTTCATTAGTCAGGCCTTACGAGGGAATTCAGCCTTCGGAAGACCTGGCTTATATGAAATTCTCTGCTAGGTACTAAAAGACATGCCACAGGTCACCAAGGCTACAATCTGTCTATTCACAGTGGAAAACATCCTTTTCACACATGATCACTGTGTTGGCAAAGGTTACCGGCCATCATGTATTTGCAGACATCAGTATTAACACTTAGAAGTAGAGTCAGTAACACAGGCGGGAGTTAACGGTCTCACCTATATTGTGGTGAGTGCCAGACAGAGGGACCCTTCCTAGTTTGCGTATCTCAGGGTGAAATTTGGCCACCTCGTAAAAACTGCAATGCCAGACAGTGGTCTCTGCTTCTTCCCTGAGTGAGTTGAGGGGGGGGGGGGGTCCGCAGGGGTAGTAAGGTTAGTCGGTGGGTTTCCTGCCCACCTGGGACTGCAATTTAAAATAGGTAAACACAGGTCTCTTGGGGTTTGGTCATAATGTGTTTTCTTCATCTGCCAAGTCAGACAGACTCTGCTAATGACCAGCTTCTCCACGAGGCAATAGAGGTTGTGGAAGAAGATGCCAGATGACCCCTGGTGGTTCCTTGATGAATAGCAACTCTCTCAGACATTTAAAGGGAGAGATTAGAATCCTGCTTGGCACCAGGATGTGGTGGGCTGTTTTACCAACAGACACTTGGGGGATCTAAGGGTTGGGTTTATTCCAAAGGACTTGCCTGTGGAAGTGGAGGAGGGCAGGTGGTGTATTTCAACGGTCAGTGTCAAAGTGGCACCTTGCCAGCCAGGTGGCCTGTTCCCTCCTCTCTGGGAGGTGTGGCGCAGGCCAGGATAGAGGACGGTAATCGCTCCCCTGCCCTTCCCCGAAGCAGGGAAGACTTGCTACCTCTGTTTTGTTCATTATGAGTTGGAGGGCGAGTCAGCAAGAGGCAGAGAGAGCCTTGGGAGAGGAGCGATTGATCACCTCTCAGGGCCTGACCGAGGCTGTCAGAATGGGGAACAGATCGCTCCTGTGCCACCCTCAGGGGACAGGGCCGTGATTGCAATGTGCTCTGTCATGATGTTACTCTTGGCATTCAGCTAATTATTCATGGGAGATGGGAACAAAGGGAACTAGACATTGAGCTTAATAAAGTGGGGAGCCTGAGCCCGCGTGCCTCGCCAGGAAGCTGCAGCTTCTCACACCCAGGGGACCACAGCACTGCCGCTGTGGGGATGAGAAGGGGCCGGCAGGCACGGAGGTCACCAGCAGGACACCAGCCAGCTTTGGTCTAGACCCTTCAGGAAGATACAGACTGTGCTGTTTTGGTGACAGCTATATTCCCAGCACCCACCCAACATAAGTGGGACTTAGTAAAAGCCTGATGACTCACTGGGGCTCTATGGATCCCCATTTATTAAATTTTAATGTGCATATAGATCACCTGTGGATGTGCTAAAATGCAGATTCCCAGGCCCCAGTTAGGAGTGGGGCCTGGGGTTCTGCATCTATAAGTAGCCCCCAGGTGGAATGGATGTGGCTAGTCCCAAACCACACCTTGAGGAGCAAGGGTGTGACAGAAATGGGACTCTTCTTGGGACCAGCAACATGCCAGGCACGGCATTTAGGAGGATCACACATTATTTCATGGAATCGTGGCAAAGATTTTTTATGTAGATAGGGTCTTCTCATTTTCACATCTGGAAGGGAGAGTTCAGAAATGTTCAGGGAATTGCCTGTAATCCCAAAGATAATAAAGCACAGAGCTAGAGGCTACCTTGGAAAATGAAAAAGTCCCCTGTGCATGGTAGCTGTTATTATATTTTTAATAACTTTATCTATATTCCAGGTTGATGATGATCAAAGATCACTTGGCAGTACATTTGTTTACAGCAGGAATTCATTAATGAGTCTTTAGCTCTGTGTTTTAATGAGAGGCTATTCATCAGCACGTCCCTCCCCCATGAGAGAAATATGTCACCTGGCCAGAAAATCTAGTTAAGGGGGATTGGTCTTGTCGAAAAGATGTTTGGAATTGAAGGACTAGAGTCTGCAATGCCAAACATGTCAGCTGATGTGATATTCGGTAGTTCATGAAGGCCCCTCTGCCTCGCCCCCACTGCTGGGGGTGGGGGGGGCAGCGTCGGTGGTGGGGAGGCAGAGAGGTCACCTCAGGACAACAGGTCGTCTATCCTTTGCCTGCTCTATCAAGCTCATCATTAGCGTCATCTCCCAGGGCAGTCAGTCTATAGGATGCTTTTCTCTGGTACAACAATGACTTAGCAGTGGAAATGAGGATGGAGGGATCAAAGCCCATAAACAATAGTTTTTCAGAGTCCAGATGGAAGGAGAAAGCGGTTGTTGCTCCAGGAATCGTGCCTGCTTCTCGTGGCCACTTCTCAGTGACCCCCGTGTTTGGACAGAATGCCAGCAAAGGAAGAATAATGTCTTTCCAGGAAGCTGGGATGGGCATGGTCCACGTTGCCACAGGCGAATCTGAGGTCCCTCCCACAGTGACTCTGATTAGCTTCTTTCTGTGTGGGGCCTGGAGTCCACCTTGTTACTGAGTCCCTAGGGAATCAACTCAGTGCCCGCTGTGACGGGCACTGCCTCTGCCCTCAGCCCAGTCACGCTTCATCTTACTTCGTGGGTCAGGGTGGTTGTGGCAGGCCCTGCCCAGTCTTCTCCCTGCTGGCCTCTATCCCCACCCCCCTACTGCCACCTCCCACCCCAGGGCAGTCTGTAAATGTGGCTGCTGCTTTTGTCTGGTGTCATTACCGAAACCAAGCAACACTTACTTTCTTGGAAGTCAAAATCCAGGTGGAAAAGTTTGAAGTTTGGAAATTTCTCAGTGGCTGCGATTCTTTTCAGCACACTGGAGAGTTGTGCTGCTCTCTGAATGCAAAGGGAAGAGGGAGAATTCTGTGAAACCTAGTGAGCCGGTTCAGGCAGAACAAAGGGTCCCCAAACCCACCCCAAGGCGCAGAGCAGCTCGGCACATTAATTTCTATTCATGCACAAATGGCCAACCAGCGTACAAACTGTTAAAATTCATTAGCAGCCAAATCAGAGCAAATGAAAGTAATAAGATCCCGTGTTCCCCTGTGGGGTCGGTGCAGAAAAGATGAACAATCCCGATAATGTCGAGGAGTGCTGGGGGAGAGGCGGTGCAGGACGTCAATTTGTGTAACCTTTCTGGAGAGCGGTTCAGCAGGACGGAGCAAACCCTTAAACATGGTATGCTCTTTGACCCAATAATTTTTCTAAAAATTTGTCTTAAGGAAATAGACCTGGTGTATAGCGACATACACACACACTGAGGTTCATCACAATGCTATTCATCACCGTGAAACATTGGAACCCTTCCTTGTCCAACTGCAAGGGATGAACTAAATCATGGTTCATGCATGCGGAGTGTACTCTAAAATGACGGCAGAATTACAATGTGGAGGAACCGTGTATGCAGGTCGGAAGGCGTAGAGCAATCTGTGTATTCTGACATCATGTAGGCAAAACCCTCAAAATATCCATCTGTTAAAGTAATATTGGAAGAACATGTGCATGCATTAACTCTGAGTAGTGGGACTTGGGGTGATTTTTTGTTATTGTCCTTTGTGCTTTTTTTTATGTTCTCCAAGGTTTTTAAAAAATGGAAGTGTATTTGTAAAAAAACTGAAATCTTTTATGAAGAGATTATTCATGATCTGTGAAGGAACTGCACGACCCATAGGTTTCTGTAGAGAGAGTGGAAAGCTCTGGAGGGCCCAGTCCTTGAACTTGGGAGAACTCAGATACAGGCCCTCACCCTGCTCACTGCTCTCAGCCTGCACCCCCACACCTGGGGCTGCCTTTCAATGGGGTATGTGTGCACCTGCGCATGCACGCACACTGGAGAGATGGGCACACACACACAGAGTGACTGACAGACACAGGAGAAGAAGCGACAGGCCCGGAGGGGGCAGAAGGAGCAAGACAGGGCACCCCGTTTTCCCTCGCCTCCCCCAGACCCCCGCCCCTGCCCCCACCCCTGCCCTCCAGGAGTTCGATGTCTGTTCACCAGCCTGGAGGTGGCTCCTCTGCCAAAACCCCACCCCAGCTGCAAACGCCACAGCAACACAGGACAGGGATGATCCGAAATGTCATCAAAAGGCCTGTGACAGCCCTACCTTGGAAGTGAGGGCCCGCAGAGTCCTGTTGGAAGACATCCAGCCGTGGCAGGGGCTGACCTGAGGGCAGAAAGGCACCACTTTGGTTACAGAGAACCAACTGCGTGGCGGGGAGGGGAGCGCAGCTTCGGAACCAGTCGGTGGCCACTCACCTGAAGACAGCTGAGGAAGGAGTAGAGCTGCCTGTAGGTCACGTCCGCATTCAGCTGGCCTGGAAAACAGAGAGGGTGGCTATGTCACATGCGCTGGGATGTGGCCACCCATGCGGGCCCTTATGTGGGACCCTGCCTTCTGGCAGAAGGCTGGCACTTCCGGGGACCCGCCCTGATTTTCCAGTTGGCATGGCCCTTGAAGAATGCCTGTGTGTCCCCTCTTTCTGAGCCCCTAGAAATTTAGAGTCAGACTTTGGGGGCGTGCCTTAGGAGTTGACTTCTTTCTCCAGCTGTTGGCCTGGGCGAGGGCAGAGCCTCCCCCGATCTGGACCCAGGTGGAGGATGCAAGGACCAGAGCATCCCTCACAATGGGCTCTGCAAGCATTTCATACCGTTCTCCTGGCAATGGTATGAAATGCCAAGTTTCTGGGGGGCGCAGAGAGCATTCAGGATTTGTCGATGACAAATCCTTCTTTCTAAGTTATGACACCCAGGTCTGACCCACTCGTCCGTGCCAAGGCCCAGACAGGATGTGGTGAGTGAAGGGCTCTACTGTTTGATGAACTGCCGGCCTCCCCACCTACTTGGCAGCCACTGGAGGGGGCAGGCCAGCATACCGTGTCCCTGCACGGCCCAGTGAAGCTTATCTGTTGAGCCCTAAATAGCAGATGTGCTCCATTCTCATGTTTTGGGGTGAGTTCAAAAGGCACCTGAAAGGAAAGGTGGTGAGCACCCAAGGCGAGGTCGTCCGGAGCCTTTCTGAACATCAGTTGCAGACGCAGGACCTGTGGGGCTTATTTCTTCTCATCTCTCAGGTGCCCCCTGTCTTGCCCGCTCACAGCACACCCAGCCCAGAGGCAATTCCACTTTCGTGCTGTGGCCGAGACACAAAATCCAGGCTGTCCCAAACCTCGGAGGGGAGTGAGTGATGTGGTGTTCATTAGCACGCCTTTCATGCTCGAAAAAATAAAGGAAAATAATAGGCCCCATCTCGGAGCGAAGAGGAAGATTGAAGGTGATGGAGCAGTCTTATTTTTCACTTATACCTCAGATCAGTTAGACTGAAAGAGAGATTCAATTTTCTTGTCATGGAAGAAAAATATATTATCTCTCGGTACGCCTGAGTGGATCCCAAGGCTGAGAAACCACAGGCTTATCATTGCCGTTGAAGTCCCGGTGACACACCTGGTGTCCTGTTCCCGGGAGGTGTCCCTGTGGTCACATACTCGATGAATCCCAAACCCCTGGCCTTTGCTTCCATTTTCCGGACTCCACATGGAGCCCCTAGCTCCAGCTTTTTCCAAGATCCCACTTCCCAGCACTGGGCTTCTTTTCCTCTATTTTCTTTTTGTCTCTGTATTTTTTGTGATTGTTTCCTTTCTGTAAGTGTCACTGCTCGTCTCAGCCCAACCCAGCGGCACTGACTGAGACCTTCAGCCTCCTCCCTGCGCTGTGGATCCCCTCTGTGCCCCAGGGAGCTGGCTCCCTGCCCCGCCCCTTTGGGCCACAGCCTCCCTTCTGCCCCCTTGTTGCTCCCCAGTAATGAACTTCAGATAGCTTGGCTGGGACCCTGACACCCGCCTGGCCCCGACGAGTCCCCTTTCCCTAAGAGGCGTCTTCTCCCTCATTCCTCTGCTCAGTGGCCGAAGTCTTTTCAGCCTGGGGACGGCACTGTCCCCCTTCTTACCTCCACGCCCTGGTTGCTCTGATACCTGGAGGGACTGGCGTTGGCCCCGCCCCTGGACCCGGGACTCACCTGCAGCTCCCGCTGGGGGGTAAGCCGCCTAGGTCTTGTTGCACCCTGCTTCCTCCCTCTCCCACAGACTGCCTGCTGGGGTCCCAGCACACACCTCAGGGCGAGACCACAGGCGTGCCCTCCCTCTGAGCCTTCTCCCACTTCCCGTCCCTCCCCCGCTGTCCCCCTGTCACTCTGGCAGTGGCTCCCACTGAACCAGGTCGGTAAAGGGCAAAGTCCAGTGGAGCAGGCAGGTCTGCTGAGCAGGGCAAGGGCCAGTCGGGTGCGGTGACAGGCAGCTGGGAAACCCGTGATGCCATGGTCCCTTCTCTCTGGTGTTATTGCCTGTGCGAGGGTGGGGTGGCTGTGGCTCGGGTCACACGAGGGGACCCGTTGGGAGTGCTGCTGCTAGGCTTACGGTTTAAAGAAAGAGAAGAGGAGTTCTTGTGGCCACTGTCAGTCCTTTACTCTTTCTTTCAGGCCTGTCTGCCCCTCTTCCCCCAGCGGCTGTGTTGCCAGAAGAGCCCTGGTGTGAAGGCAGCTCCTCCCTGCACGTGGGGCTGGTACAGAGGCTGGGTCTCTGGGTCCCCGGGTGGAAGGTGCATCTGGTGCACAAAGCTGGTCAAGAACGACCAGGATGGGGTGGCGGGACTGTCCCTCAGTGCCTGAGAATGGTAAGGCCTGCATGTGTGTGTGTGGGGGCGGGGTGCAGAGCCAGGGGCTGGCCCCGTGGACGCCCTGCGTCCCTCTGAAGCGAAAAGGGCAGCTCCCATCGCTCGCTAGTTAGAGTATTAACTTGTGTCTTAGCCATTTGCAGTTTTCTAGGGCAGGGCCTTTGGTATTTGTTTAATGCTGGGATCGTCATCGAAATTTTAGGCATCATAAAAGCCTAGTTTCAACAAAGATCTATCACACTTCCGTGAAATACCATCCAGGGTACCACTAACCCTGGTAAAAACATTAATTCAGACCGAGGGGAAGCCAGTAGTGAAATACAAGGTATGCCACGAGGCATTTTGGAATACATTGCGTTTTAGGTTGAAGAGCCATCAGGGTAAAATGAAGGCGTTGTTGGTGTGTTGTGGCAGGGGTCCTTTGAGGAAGGCCCAGGCACACCCCCGACTGTAGCCAGCGGTCGCAGAAGCCTTGACCGGAATGTGACCCTGCGGGCAGCACCCGGGGTGCTTAGGGCTTGGAGCAGCGTCACTGACACTTAGCAATGTCACTGTGAGGATCTATATTCTGCTTTTCCCAGGGGGGTTGCCTTTGAGAACAAGAACTCCACCTTAGGGTGTGTCCTCTTTACCGTGACAAGGGACCTCTTGGGGTCTCAGACATATTTATGGAAAGACTGCCTTCCTCCTAGACTGTGTCTGAGAGTACTCGCCACTGGTCAAAGCCGGCCTTTCTCCAAAGGTCCTGAGGATGGCCCTGGCCAGATGGCTCGGTTGGTTGGAGCGTTGTTCTGGGCACCAAAAGTAGTGTGTTTGATCCCCAGCCAGGGTGTGTGTGGGAGGCAACCAACTGATACTGCTCTCTCACATCAACGTTTCTCTCTCCCCCTTCCTCTCCAAAACCAATAATACATATCCTCGAGTGAGGACTGAAAAAGAAAAAAAAGATCTTGAGTGTGTAGAATCCTAATGTGTGAGGCTTATTCTCTGGTAATTCCTCAAAAGACAATGCGTCCTCCTTGGGAATTTTGGTTCCCAGTGGAGACTGTGGGGCTGTCACAGTCCCAGGGCCAGGCAGTGACAGCGCAGTGACTCCCCCACAGGGCTGAAGCAGGCAGGTCCTGGGGGTTCACCTCTCCCTCCTCCCGGCAGGAGCGCCAGTGCTTGTCCTGGGCCTCCGCTGATCCGATGCTGTGGCATTTAACCTCATCTTCGCCGATGGTCAGGCTGTGTCCCTGCCTGTCCTACCGAGGCACGAGAGACTATTCCTGACCCAGGGGTAATTCCCCAGCCCCTTCCACTCCCTGAATTCTTTCCTAACCCTTACGGTGGGCTACCTGAGTAAGAGGATCCCCGTCATGTTTCTGGGCTCAAAGACAGGTAAATTGGAACACCCCCGTATTCGCTGGCACACCCTTTAGCACAAGGCCCTGGGAATCAGACGAGGGTTTTTTCTGCTATTAATTAAAATGAGAGCCATCCCAACCTAGGCAGAGCAGCCAAACCCAGAGGCTGGCCAAGCATTAACCGAGGAACAAAGATCCAAAGATGGGATTTGCAGCAGAAGCAGGCCAGAGAGAACAGGAGGGCGGCAGCCCTCCCTACAAGCCTCTCATATTAAGTGAGCTGTGCCCCTGCCAGAGGGGGAAGGGGCAAGCTGGTAAGTCCCGCCTACTCCCCCAGTCTGTGGACCAGGGACCCTGGTGCTTCATTGAGGAATTCATGCTTTATTTCCCATGGCAACCAGGCAGCGGGGATAATTTAGGAAATGAATAATAACTTAAAAACATTAAACACATTTTGGAGGGTTTTATCTTTCTCCCTAATTGGATTATTTCTTAAAAAAAACAAAGATTGTTTATATAGAACAAATTGGTTGCATCTTTTCTTTTTTCCTTGTTTAGGCAGTGAAATGCTGGTACGTGATTAGCAGTTAGAGAGCGGGCATCTGAGGGCAAGGCAACGCTGAGGGCGGAGTTTCTCAACCTTAGACCTTGTTGGCTGTGGGGGGCTGTCCTGGGTGTGGGTAGGGTGTTTAGGACCCTCCCTGAATTCTACCCAGTAAATGCTGGTGGCACCTCTCCCCCACCAGCTGTGATAATGGGTAGGGGTCGGATGTGCTGTCCCTGAATGAGAACTGGTGTGTCCCTTCCAAACTGCATGGAGTCACTGCTACATGCTGTGGTGAAGTCCAGGGGCCAGTGCGGCACACCTGAAAGGGTTGCTAGAGGCGGTTGAATGGGAGTTCATGGAAAGACACCGAAAAGTAAAGCCAGAAAACTCGGAGTCAAGTCCTTATGGGTAGGACACTGTGAGTCGGAAATGCGTCTTCTCTGCCCCCAGCTTTTCAGCCCCCAGCACTGCTGTGCCTGGGAGAGATTTAGGAATTCGAAAACACCTCTTGGGGGAACTGCAGTTTTCACAGCCGATGGCTCAAAGAGACATCTCGGCCCACCTGGTTGTCCTCCCTGTCTCCAAGGAGGCCCAGAATGGAGTCAAATTCTCCAATATGTAATCACATCATCTCTACAAGGCACGGTAGAAGCCACATAACCAGGAGGAACATGCTAGACGGCGTTTTCCTTGGATAACAATGGTATTTACGGCACATTTCCTAACCGCAGAGAAGATGACCTGAGTCTCATGCTTGAGAAGCCTGGAATGTGGGGGTCTGCTCTTGCCCTCCCTGGAGCCCATCAAGAGCTGGTAAAAGGCCCCCATCTTTTTCCTGGGCAGGGAGGGTAGGACTCCCTGAGGGAGGTATCGGGGGAGGGGGGATTGGCTTAAACCAGGGTGCAGGAAGGGGACGGAAGGAGATTGAAGAGACACAGAGAAGTTACATGTGCAAGGGCAAGAAAGCTCTCCTGAGGAGGCACCGAGGAATGAGTTTCTGGTTTCCCCTTCAAGTCGCTCGCCTGGCTCAGAAGAAGCTGCTGGGACCTCCAGCACACTTGACCTTGGGCTCGTGTAAGGGGGATGCTATCGCTGTACCAGGGAGGCCGTGGCCCCTTTAATGAAAGGCTGGCCTAGGTGCTATCAATATGGGGCTGAGCAAGGGCACCCCGCAGCCCCGAATTTTCTCTCATAACACTTACCATCCTCTGACGTGCTTTGGGAATCTTTTTACCACTGAACGAAGCCTTGTGCGGGCTGGGGTTTTTGACCATTATGTTCACTGTTGCCCAGGGCCTAGAGCAGTGCCTGGCACGTCACTGGCCCTCAATACGTTTTTGAAAAGGCATTCTCCTCCAAAGCACAGAAAGCAGAGCCGTGCTTCCCCCAGCTGACATTACAATGAAGCACGCAGCATTCGGTAAAGTGCCTACCCTCTCTGAGCCTTCCTTTGCTCATCTATTCAGTGGAAGGACTGAAAACGCCCATCTCACAGGGGTGTTTTCAGGATCCGCGTGGCAACCCTTCCTAATGTGGATTATTACTACCTTTCTGACATAATGTATCTGGAATGCTGCAGAGGCTATTAGACGTTTCTGGGGATCTCTGAAGCATTTCAGAGCCAAGGACTCCCAGGGAGTGACACAGTAGGGTGCCAAGTCCACTGAAGGACCGCAGTCGACACGATTTGATCTGGCCACCAGGGGGCACTCCCCATTGAGCGTCTGAGAAATTCTGCCCTTCCACTCCGGCAAGGCCTTCTGTCTCCCGTCTGCGCTTCATCGGCACATTTCCTGAGTTCACCTTCAGTTAAAGGGGTCTCCTGACTTCAACTCTTACCTTTCAATTTGTCTTACTTCTTCGTTAAATATTTCTGCCCTTCCTAGCTTTGGGTCTGGCCCCGCCCACCTTTGAATACTGACCTTTCGATCCTGCCCCTGGGGGTGCTCTCTTTCCTCATCTTTGATTCACGGATTTCGAAGGCCTTTGCGGCGTATTTCTATATGATGTGAACTATACATATTGGAACTATGTATTCACTGACATTGTTAAAGAGCAAAAGTAGCCCTGGCTGGTGTGGTTCGGTGGACTGAGCACTGGCTTGCAAACCAAAGGGTTGCCAATTTGAATCCCAGTCCGGGCACATGCCTGGGTTGCGGTCCCCAGTAGGGGGACACACCACACATTGATGCTTCTCTCCTTCCCTCCCTTCCCCTCTCTCTAAACATAACATAAAATAAAATCTTAAAAAGAAATTAAATAGTAAAAGCGGCTTCAAAGCAATACCAAGAGGGTGATATCTGTCATGCAGGTTATCCCAGAGAAAGGTCCCGTCTGGTAAGCCATATAGAAGAACGTGGCTGCCATTTGGCAGGTGGGACTTTAGATACTTCAGAGTCTCCATGACCTTGGAATAGAATTGTTCAGGTGTGGTCATTTTTGGGACTGGATCCATCTGCCTGTTGGGAAAAGAAACAGAAAATATCTTACCAGATGACAAAGATAGGTACATGCAAATTCTGAAGTTCGCCCCCAACCCCTACCCCAACACGTGGTGGTAATTGGTGCTATTTGAAAAATATTTCTGGCTTCCTGATTGCTGTGTGGTCGGGTGGGCCTTGTCAGTGGTCTGGTGCATGAGTTGTGAGAAGTGACATATGTCATGTTTGATGGTATGAGAGCCTCTAGAAAGCTCTGTTTCTTTGCTATGGATGTGAGCAATATTCTAGGCAGCAGTTACATCACCACTGATCCTGGAACAGAGTCACATGGTGACTTTTGATGGACGTATCTTGTGAGTGAGAAGTAAATATTTGTTGCTTTATGCTCCCGAGATTTTAGGGGCTGTTTGTTCCTGCAGCATAACCTCACCCATCCTAACTGATAGACACAGTGAATGGAGTCTGATATGGACTACTATTTGTTGGGTGCTTCAGGGTTGCGACTTGGCCTTTAACACTTTGCACCCGTGTTACAGTGTGGGAAATAGAATGTCACTGAGAAATGAAGTGGCATTATGTGCCCACAATACACCTTCTGATCAACCCTGAATTTGAACTTTCATGAATCTCCTGACCGACTGCTGCTTCAGGCTGTGCCCTGAGATGCTCCTGCCAGCAGGCGGTTCTGTGTTGCATCATGGCTTTTCTCTCCATGGTAGTGCTGGTGCTCTGTAGAATGTTTGAAATTTTAAATTATATTTTTCTTCTTGTTTCATAACAGGTAGTGAGCACAGAAAATGAAAGTTTTGTAAGTAGCTATAAAAGCATCAGTCTAAAAATCGAAGCGTTTAAGACCAAGACAGAAATCACAAGTAAGCTGAAAGAAATAAACTTTTAGTTTCAAGCAGGTATTTTTTGAGCTTAAGCTGGTTGACTATTTTTCATTTGATTTTGCAAAAAACAAAGTAAGGAAAGTATAAATGTCTTCTAGAAGTATTTTACTGATAGTTACATTTAAATTTCTTTCTTTCAAACTGTGTTTCAACGGCAAAGGGTAAAGAGAGATGCTAGAATATGTGTTGGCTTTAATCGGTAAACCTATTATTGTTCTTTTCTTTTTTTACGAAGTTGACTTTTATACACACAGGATCACCTCAAGTTCTATGACGATATTAACCTGCACTGAGCTGGTAACGTGAATTCACTAACATTCTCATTTGCCCACTAGGCTCTAAATGGCCTGATGTTAAATGCAATGAAACAATGATACATGTTGTTTTCTATTTGAGTCCTCAAATTTCAAACTTGTCGAATGACCCTAGAATGGGTGGAATAGCATCCCTCAGAATGTGATCGTATGTGGCAACAAGGTCTTTGCAGATGTAATTAGTTAAGACGAGGTCATATTGGATTTGGGTGGGCCTAAATCCAGTGCCTAGTGCCCTTGTAAGATGAGGAGAGGACACACAGACACGCACAGGGAAGAAGGCCTTGTGAATACTGAGGCAGAGACTGGAGTTTTGTGGCCATAAGCCAAGAAATGTGAGGGTTGCTGGGCACCCTGAAAGCAAGCAGAGACAAACAAGTCTTTTCCCCTCGACCCTTCAAGAGGGAGCAGGGCCCTGCCAAAACCTTGACTCCAGACTTCTGGCCTCCAGAGCTGTGCGAGGACACATTTTTCTTGTTTCATGTTACCCAGTTTGGGGGACTTTGTTACAGCAGCCCTCGGGAGCTTCATACAGATTCCAAACAGGAGGAAGTAGGCCCATTACTCACAGCCTGAACTCAAGGCCCGAGTCACGTGGGAGGAAGGGAGAGAACGGAGCCTGCGGGGACATCCACTGTTCTCTTTCAAGGGAGCTCCTAAACGAAGGGACCTTTTCAAAATGTGTCAAAATTTGAAGTAGACTTAACTCTTGACCTTGAAATTTTACTTTCAGGAAGGTGTCCTATAGTCAAATTCCAACAAATGTGCAAAAATGCACGTCTAAATGTACATACAAATTGCAGCATTGCTGGGAATAGTGTGAAACTGGGAAAAGTTACAAAGGCCACCTACCAAGCTGCAGCCCACCCATGCGGTGACGTGCTCCGTGGCCACGAAAACCAATGAAGGAGCTAGATAGAGGTGGTGGTCATGCATGATTCTGAATAAACTAGATGCCTCTGAATGAACTGTTCACTTCAAAATGTTTAATTTTACATTAGGCAAATTTCACCACAATACAATAAAAATATATATAAAAAGAATAAAATAAGGCATGCATTAGCATAGAAAGACCGCTACAAAGTATTGGTGACTGAAAAAAACAAATGGCAGAGTAGTAAGCATTATATTTCATTTCATGAGTATCAATAAATGTGTAAGTTAGAATTTCCATAGGAAAAAATCTGGCTGCAAATAGACTCTCATGATTGGTTAGCTTGTAGCATGGTAGTGAGGGTGGAGGGGAGTGATTATGGGAAAATGTTCACTTTCAAAGCTCTGTATTATCTGACATTTTCACAGCAGATGTTACTTTGTAATTAGAGAAAAATATATATAAAACAGATTTCCATATCATTTTCATCATCCTTTCTAAAGGGGAAAAACTGGACTCCACCTAAGTTTTAATGGGAGGGGCAGAAAACATTATTTTATGTCATTTCCCCTATATCTACTTCGCTATACCTATTTGGGAAGAACATCACTCTCCAAATTGCAGTAATCCAAGAGACAAGGCTGACCACAGGTAAGGGGATCCCAGGGACCAGTCTGTGGCCATGCAGAGCAAGAGGCAGAGTGAGCCTGGCGTTTCTGGGAAGCCCATGGGAAGTCAGCTGTACTTGGTGTTTGTGTTTCTAAACTATGGACTGGGTTGTTTGGACTAATAGGAAGGAAGGAGGGAAAAAAGGAAGGAAGAGAGGGAGAAAGGAAGGAAGGAAGGAAGGAAGGAAGGAAGGAAGGAAGGAAGGAAGGAAGGAAGGAAAGAAGGAAGGAAAGAAGGAAGGAAAGAAGGAAGGAAGAATCTTGTCCTGTTTGAACAAACCCCAGTATGTATTGAGTTGGCCAAAAAGTCCGTATGTTTTTTCCTGTAAAATAGAAGACACATTTTTCATTTTCACCAATGACTTTACTGATTTGAACATTTTGAGTAGATCAGCTAGTTCCCATGTGGCAGAAAGTTGATCATTCTCAATTAATGTCCCACTATCAGCTTCAGCTGGTCTACCCAGCCGTGGACCATCGTCCAGTGAGAAATCTCCAGCATGAAACTTCACAAACCACTTCTGACACATTTGATCAGTCCCAGCACCTTTTCCATACACTGCACAAGTCATCTTTTGCTTTTCAGTTGCATTTTTACCTTTCTTGAAATAATAAAGCATAATATGCCAAAAAATGTTGAGTATTTTCTTTAATATTAAAATGGCTACACAAAAATTCACCAATTTTGGTAAGTTTTTTTTAAACGTATGTTGATATGACAGCTGTCACAATACAATCCAACAAAATTGTTTCGAATGAAGTTAAAGACAACTAAGAGCTACTAGAGCCATTGTATGGAAAAAACTAAGCAAATTTTTGGCCAACTCAGTAGAACAGAATGCTAAGTTCACGTTTTATTTCCTCGGGACAAACTATTCTACTTTATGAATACTAGTCTCCGTACCCTGCACAAACAGCACTCAAAGGATTTGAGAAGAGGTTGCTTCTACCAATTGGGGGCAGAAGGCTGGGTGGGGCCTTGGCTTCATTTGCATATGCACAGAAGCTCTAGAGGCCCCTGCCTTTGCAGGGATCCCTCCTGCTGCCTTGCGGGTTTGTCCAGACCAGGAGAACCGGCCTGGAGTGACCAGGTGGGCTCGAAGTGGGACAGCAGGAGCGATATGAAAGCAGGCTGGGGGTCTGAGTCCTGTCCCTTGTCGCCAGGAAAGCCCCTGCATATTGCCTGATGACTTCTGCCTTCATGGTTTTGTTTTTGTTTGTTTTTTTCTGTTGCGGACACCACAGCACCGGCACAAAGCAATTATGCTGAGTGAAGTCTCTTCAGCCACATAAAGGCAAGATAATGAGGAGCAAGTCTCCCCGACCGTCTACTTAATGATTATTTTGTGATCAGAGACTCACCCTGATGATACACAAAGAATCTGAGCTAATTTGTACTCATGAAGAGGGCACCCCACAAACTGAGCAAGCAGGACCCCAAATGGCTGATTACTCAGGGAAATCGAATGGGAGCCTCTTGCGGCTGATGGGACGTCCTCGGGAGTCTCTGGGCCAGCGTGTGCAGCTGCATACCTGACACACTGGGTCGGGGAGATGTCTCACGTGCAGGGGCACAAGGGGCTAAGGGACAGGTGGTGGGCTCCCCTGCTGCATGTCACGGAAGGTGCCTGCTGACTCTGCCCTGAAAAGATATCCATGCCATTTTGACTGGGCACTCCTTCCTCTGGTGATTGCTGTGGGGTTTAGTTTTGTGTATTTCGGGGACCTAAGAGTCCCGGGGGTTTGGAAAATACCTCCTGGGCCTTCCCTGGTGTCCGAGGCCAAATGGGCTGAGCTGAGACTGTCTAACCCTTTCCAGCCCGGGTGTCCTGGCGCCCGTGTCAGGCCTGCTTTGTCACCCCAGGTTTGCCTGCCCACTCCAGTGCCCTGCGTCCCCCTCACACGCCAGCAAGCTTGGGCAGTCGCTCAAATGGAGAGGTGAGGGGTATGCCAAGCTTTCAGAAGAGAAATTTGAGAATCAGCCCGGGGGCCATGACGCTCACACCAGGGTGGGGGGGAAGGGAGTGAGACACTGGTGCCCACCTCAGCGCTCTCATGCCTGCCAGTAACACATGGTGGGCCCAGAACAGCCTACTCGGCCCTGGGGCAGCTCAGAGCCTGTCTCTGCCCTAATGAATCATGTCCGACCACACAGAACTCCTCCTGGCGTGGGAGCAGGGCCACGATTGTCCCTTGCTCTGGCAGGTCTCCAGATGGACTTTCTCCGGCTGGTGCCAGAGGGAGGTGCCCGCGTCAAGGAGGAGGGTGGCAGCCCCTGTGGGCGACACTGTGCAGGACCAGATGAGTGTGACCTAGCACTCAGACCTCACTTACACCAGCATGTGGGTTTTCCAACCCCCACCCCGCCCCCCACACCAGTGAGAGAACTAGCCTTTTTCTTCAGGCCAGCAAGTTGTCACTGCATCACTTACCTCCCACCCAGCCACTGGGAATGGGGCGGGGGCGTCTGCGCTCACACTAAAAATGCATGTGGCCTGCTGGGTGAGAAACCATTCCCTGGGCCATGGTGCCTTGACGGGGGAGGCTTGGAGAAAGAATCCTCTGAACACGGCCCTGTTCACCCCCTTTGTGGCTGGTTTCTATCATTTGATTGGGCGGAACGGGTTGTCTCTGGCAGTGCAGGCCCCTTGGGTCGGCCCCTCGCCTCGCTTCCTCCTCCTGCAGTGCTGATCAGCTAGCTGCCCAGGGAGGGAGTGGGGGGTGGGGTGGGTGGGTGCGGGGACTGGACTTGGAAGCATTTTCGTTGCAGACAAAAACTGCTTGAAGGCCAGGGGACAGACAACCTATGTGAGGTGGTCCTGGATCTCTATTAAGTAAAACATGTATGACTGATAATTTCTACATCCACCATGAAAAAGGGAACCCTGTCAACTTATGTGGCTAGTGGTAGATGCCTTTGTAATTCTATCACATTTCTAGTGTTTATAATGATCTTCTCAGTGCTGCTGTGTTGGGATGTTGCGGAATCACTGCCATCACCCTTTCTGATTAGAGGAACTGAAGGCCACTCTCTTTCCCCATCGCTGGCCCAGTCACTGCAGGATCTGCCGTTGCAGCTCACTCACATTTGCCCCGTGTCCGGGAATTCCTCTCTTCCTCTATCACCCACATTCTGTACCTGTTGGGGGCAGTGATCAGAAGTCCGGGGAGCTGGGTTAGCTTAGCCAGGTGGAGTAGAGTTTCAGTGAGAAACATAGGTTTGTCTGTGTTGCCTTGTTTCTTGAATTTCAGACACTAAAAGCTATCTTCCCACCATGACCTTCATTCACCGAACAAGAGTTCACTGAGCAACTGCGTGTACTCTGTCAGCAAGAGCAAGATGGCGTCATCATCAACCCGGGAAAGGAGAAGGTTCAGGTATCTCCAAACTTGTTTCGGGACAGACTTCTTATGCCACCCGTTCCTGGGATGAGTTTTTATGAAGTCACTTTGCTCGTTTTGGGTTATCCACTCCACTTCGACGTTCTGGCAGATGGGGCGGTACAGTTGCCATCTGTCTTTATTTTTCTAACCCCTCCACAGGACGTAGCAAAGTGGGCACCACAGGGACATCCCACACTGCCAGCTCTGTTATTTTACCCAAATGCTTGCTGCTTCTCTGCCCAGATGCTGGTGGGGGGTGGGGAGGGTTGGCACACATCTCTGGCTGATAGCTGCCTGCCCTTGGCTCTTTGGAAAAGTTTGCAAAGTGGGCCTGGCTGGGAGGGCCTCTGGGTAAGCAGATTCTGCTGAAAAAGGGCAGTTGCAGGGCTTTGGGTCTCGGAGCCACAGCCTCTTCCTGCAGGTGTCCTGCACTCAGTATAACTAGTCTGCCCTCTGGGCCCTCCAGCAGACCACGATGCATAGGCTGGAGGGGCACCAGCTGATGTGACCGCAGGTTTGCTCTGGTTCATGATGGGGCTGGAGGCTGAGGCTCATTGCTTCTCCTTCTAGAAGCAGCCTGAGGTCAGGGATGGTGGCCCCATTGCCAGTGTGTCCCAGAGCTGGCACATTGCAGGTGCCCGATACCTACTTTTAAGAGGGAATGCATAAAGGAAAGCAAACAGGGGGAGTGTGAACTGTAGGAAAGAGTTTAGAAGTTCACTGGTGAACCTCATTTGGCTCTCAACTTGGCTGCTCAATGCTCAATGGCAGGATAAGCAAGTTCCCTCATTTTGCAGAACCTTAGTTTCCTTATCTGTAAAATGGGGACATCATACTTGTCTCTTGAGGCTGCTGCAGGGGTGAGATGATATAGCGAGTGGTGTGGCTCTGGGCTCACGGCAGGTTTAGGGGCTGTTTGCTCTTTACTGGCAAGTCCCAGGTGATTCCTTACAGGGGCTGGGACTTGGATCCCCAGTACGTAGCTGGGGCAGAACTGGGGTTCTAGGGAGAGTGGTAAACCAGCATAGGGATTGCCAAAGCAGGGTCTGGGACATAAGCATTTCTGGGTCAAAGTGTGGTATCCCCTGCCCTGAATTTACTGCACTTAGTAGGTCTATACCTCCCTCACCATAAGAGTTCTAGGCTCTCGTGGAGGTGTCCAGGAGGGCAAACACTTCAACAACAGGAACTGGAGCAGGAAGCCAAGGCCGGGCCCTGAGCAGGAATCTCTACTCCTAGCTCCGCTTAGGGCGGAGCCCAGCTCTGTCATTAATTGGTTAATTAGGTCTGTCATGTCACCTCCTTGGATTTACCGTTTTCTAAAATGGAGATCTGGTGTCATTTTTTTCTTTTTGGCCATGATCACAGGACAGATGACATTTATATATGCAGCATACTCTTAGGGGCAGGCACAGATTTTGAGAAATCTTCCGAGATGTTGTGAGGGGGATGAAGTCATTCAACATTTTGAAATCTCTACTGATATTAGCGGGTTAGCAAAGCGACTTTCTTCTATGGGCCACGGGTGTAAACAGGATTGGCTGTGAAGCATGTGTAGTTTCTTTGCAAATGCTCAAAATCTGTGGTGTCTCTACCACGTGTGTGTGTGTATGCGAGAATACTCGAGGGAAAGCTGTTCTCGGGGGTAGCTGTGATTCTGCCTTATCTTATTTAAAGAAGTCGTGAGTCTCAGTCTTGGATTCTTGGCTAGTACAAGCATATTTCCAGTGACATAAGTCAGAGCTGATCTGACGTACCTATTTGCTGTGAATCAGAGCAAAGAACTAATGGATGAATGGTGTTTGAAAGGGTCTTTCAGCTTTGTGGGTTGCTTCTGTTGATTTCACACGTGTCTAGGGCTTGCAAAGATAGAGACATTTAATTCAACAGCAGGCTGGTGGAGTGGAAGAAAAAGGGAAACCCAGAGTCAAAGAACTTTCAAAACAGTCTTTCTTAATAACTCACCCATTGCAGACATCATTTCCAATCATGGCATAGATGACAATGGCGGGCTGGTCCAACAGGGGGTTCCTAGACAAACTGAGAAGCCACAGTTGGAATCTGAGTGTCAAAACTTAGAAACCTAGCTTTGTAGCCAACGTCACAGGCTGGGCCTGTGAAAGAATCTTTGAATGCTGCCCTGCCCCCGGGGAATTTTTGCTATTTTTCTTTCATTCTAGTTATCACCATTCCAACTTCTCCCTTTCTTCTCTATAACCTTTAGTCTACTTCCTGTTAGGGAAAGACCCCGTAAATGTATAATATTGAAGAGTGGAATGAAGTGTCCAGCAGGGGGACACACCACCATTTCCTGGCATCTTTTACAGCCTTTGTTGTCAACACACACAGGTGAGTTACTTGGGTTCCTTTTGTCCAGGTTCATAAGACATCCTGTGGGCCTACAGTCAAATTAAAAAATTCAAGGGTCCCCCAAGGTTTTCGTTCTGGGCATCCAGGGCTGTGCTTCTGAATTTTAGGACCAACGTGAGCACAGAATTTTTTCCTCATTCTTAAGCAAGAATACGGAATAATCCTTTTTGTCTTTTTCAGACACCTTAGACAGATCTAAGTTTCACCTTCTTTTTATGTGTTTTTATGATCCTTCCTGAAGGACGTACATGCAGAGTAGCACTGCCAGTGCTCACTGACCCAGGAAGGGCTAATGTCCAGTGTTTTCACAGTGGCTAACAGCCCACCGATGCCCAGTGCAAGTGATGACAGGGTGACAATGGAGTTTTCATACATTTTTAGAAATGAGAAGCTCCATGGAAAAATAACTTCTTATGTCCCTCTTCCACTTACCTTTTTATAAATCCCTCCAGGTTTTGGGAAGATGCACCTGAGTAATAAAAATTGAGAAAATAATTACTGTTGGTGAGTTCAGTGCAGCACAGTGAGCAGGAGGGCCTGGTTGTCTGAAGCCATGGAAGAGGCGTGATCGTGCAGTCAGAGGTCACCTGCACCCTTGTGCTGATGGAGATAATGTTGCCCTGGAACTCTCCTTGGTGGGTCTCATGTTTTCTGGGCATTATATTAACATAACTCTGAAGTCTTTGTATTTATAGGTCTCAAGACATTTTCTAACATGAATGGGTAGACTTGGTGATAGGTGTAAGAAAAAGGTGTACATCTAGCACCAGGGAGAGAAACTACCCAGAAGATCAAGGAATGAATTGAGGGATGAGAGGAAGCGTAAAAAGGATCCTTTGAGATGTACGGATCTCCCCAAAGAGCCTCAGGGAAGCATCGGCTAGTATCCCTGCCCATTCCTGAGGCCCCTCCTGCTGGCTGGCCTGTGCCAGGTTCAGATTGTAGAGCTGATGTATTGTTTCAACTCCTGCAATGACATGTACGCCCATCCTGCCCCCATCCCTGTTACCACCTGTAATATATCTCTTATAGGAAAGTCGTAGTTATTGAGTCCTCATGTTATATTAGACACTCTGTTAAGCACTTTATATTACTAGTTCATCAAGGCCTTAGCACAGCTGCGTGAGGTAGGCACACTAGTAGCCCCACTTTATAGATGAGAAAACAGAGGCTCACTTAAGTGACTTGCCCAAAGCCATGTAACTAATAACGTGTGGAACTGCGATACAAACCCTGTCCCTTCTGCTTGCCAGGCAGAGCTCTGGCTCCCTGGGGGACATTGCTTCTACAGGGTGGGGGTCCAGAAAGAGTAAACCCATGCAGGTATTTTTTGTCCCTTGGAGGCTGATCTTCCGTAATAAATGAATAATTCTCAGGTAGGAGGTGCCACTCCAGGGACAAGGAAGGTTGATCTGTAACTGCCAGGCACGGAAGGCTGGGTGGCAGGTGCATTTTATGACAGAGCCAGTGCGTGTTCTTACAGACCCACAGGGGACAGAGGGCAGTGCACAACTGTGGGGAACGCCCTGGCCCTGTTCCTGGGAAGCTGGGTGACCACGCAGCGACTGCCTCTTTGTCACATGCAACTAGGTGCAAGCTCTGCAGGCAGTGTTGCTGTTCCCTTGGCTGATTCGAGAGTGTTACCACATTAAATGAACATTGCTTTATTTCTTTGTTTACATGTAGTCAATCTCCAACACACAGACTTGACCAGTTTAACCACTTTTAAGTGGATAGGTCAGCGGCATTAAGCACAGGCATACTGGTGTGCAGCCATCCCCACTGTCCATCTCCAGAACTTTCCCATCATCCCCCACCGGAGCCTTGCACCCATTAGGAATAACTCCCTGTTTGCCTCCCCTGCAGCCTCCGATCACTCCATGCTACTTTCTGTCTCTCTGAGTTTAAACCATGCTAGGTACCTGCTCTAGGGGCAGCCATACAATATTTGTCTTTTTCTCTCTGGCTTACTTCCATTAGCCTAATGACTTTGAAGTTTATCTGTTTGGAGCATGTGTCCTTTTAAAGGTGGACTAATAATCCATTGTGTGGATATACCACATTTTGTTTGTCCATTCACCTAGGGATGGGCATTTGGGTTGTTCCTACCTTCTGGCTGTTGCGCATAATGCTGCATGACTCTGCTTTCAATTCTTTTAGGTATATACCTATGAAATTGCGGGACCACATGATAGTGCTGTGTTTAATATTTTGGAGGAACCGCCACACTGCGTGCATGTCCTTTGTGTGGTGAGGCAGGGTGCTATTCGATACGCATGCAAACAGACCAGTGCAGAGCCATCAGCTCCTCTCACACTCTTGCATTCATCCTCCTCTCCCTCCGTGTGTTGAGCACCTGCCACGTGCCTGGCAGAGCAGGAATCAGCAGGTGAGTGGACACAGCCTCTGTCCCCGAGAGTAGTGTGTATCAGTAGACACACACATAATTCAGTACTGGTACGAGGCGTAATGCAGATCCAACCCCAGTGACTGAAAAGAGGAAAACCCAATGGTTCTGAGCCTCTTATCTCTGCTCAGAGAAGGTGCCAAATTGAGTCCTAAACGTAGAGACTCAAAGTATTTCTGGGTGTTAGATCGATCCTTACTGTTGTCAGAGATGAGGAGACAGAGGGTGGCCTGTGTGTGCTGGGACGGTACCCACGGTGGCTCCTCGTAGGCGGGGCCCTTGGTTCGGTTCCAGCCCCAAGTTCACACCTCCCATTTTCAGTAAGATAACAAATCAAGAGGTGTTTCATTCTCACTCTTCGATTTGTGTGTTAATGAGAAATGAAAACTAATGAAAGCTCAAGGACCAGGCCAGGCCAATAATTTTCCTCATTGCTGAGAGGATAGCTGGGAATTTGAGGTGCAGCTCACCCACACAGCCTGAAGAAAGGAAAATAAAAGTCTGTCATGGCATGCTGCATGCTCAGCCCCTCCCGCGGTCCACAGCACCCATGCCCCTTTGCTGCTCGGGACAGGATGGCAGGCCAGTGGCACCTGTCAGGGTAGATTTAAAAACAGCAGTCACAAACATCCACTCAAGAAGAAAGGACACGCCTACGCTTCTTTACCCAAATGTCTCTGTTATAATATGAGCACCGTATTTTCTTTGCTCCAAAGCTATTGCTCCTTCCAGGATTTCCACTTCCTCTTAGAAAGTTTCATGTTTTGAGATTATGTTAGTTTCTGTAATTCCTACTCGCTTTCTCTTCTTGATCCCCCCTTCCTGCAGCTCTGCTATCCTTCTGCCAGACCCACTGACAATTCTTTCTCACACCCTCCCGATCTCTATTGTCTCTCTCTTCTTGTGTATAGACTTCTTAGCCGCCAGTTTTGCTGCAGCTGCAGCTCCCGTCACAGAAAATCCGTTCGGTAGAAGCTGTTGGCCTGAGAATATGGCAGCAGGAAAGGTAGCCCCCAGCCTGCGGGAGGCGGTAAACCAAGGCGAGCCTTTGGGGAACTGGCACTACCCTTCAGAGGGTCACACTCTGGTTGTTATGATTACAGTTCAGAGACACGAAAGAGGTTTGACTATGAAAAAGAGCACTTAATTTACTTGTCAAGGTGGTCCCATGGAGAATTACCTGCTCCTAATCAAAGAAAGAAGAGGGTCTTTAGGGCCATCAGCATCTGAAATCTGGCTCATTCTGCACCTTTTAAATGTGGCATAGTGTGCGTTTCAAGAAGAGAAGAGGGTTTCCTGTAGCCTCAGTGTTGTCGGTCCTTCCATAACTAAATTTCAGCTTACAGCCCCACTGCGGGACCAGTGTGGCCCACGGCACCACGCACTCCATGGTCTGTGTGCTTGGCTCAGCTGGGAAGACACGTTTAGTGATCTTCAAAGTGAGCCCGTACCTCACGCCTCATCCTAAGTATGTGTTCAGTCTCAAACTCTTCACAGAAAGACACGGGGTATATTTATATGTAAGTGTAATAAGTCTTTGTAAATTAAGCAATTCATTAGTTCGGGAACATTTATTAAGTACTTACTATGTGCCAGGAATGGTAATAGATGCTTGGGGACACATCAGTGGAAGACAGATGTAGTCCTCGTTCTTAGGAAGCTTAAAGTTACTAGACAAGTAATGAACAGGAAGTTTCAGGGATTCAGAGAAGTCCTCAGGAAGCGGTGTTAAGCTGAGCACTGAGGGAAGAGTTGGCCTTCCCTTTCTTGAAGCCCCAGGGTAAGAACTCATTTATTAATTCCCAATCAAATGCCTGATGCTTTTTATACATGCCTCAGAAACAAAACTCTAGTTCAGTGCCATCTCTGTTAGAACCATCTGGCTGGGACAAGGGCAGATCCAGGTTTTGAGAGGTGAAGCTTTGGTGATTTGGGGATCCTCTTTAAGGAAAAGAACGTCACACACAGAAGTGACACCTGACCGAAAGGAAGGCCGGAGTGAAAAGAGGCAAGGTCTTAGCCAGTTGTGGTTAAATACCCTGGACATTTTGGGCCTGATAAGGCTCTGAGTCTTGCATGTTTGTCTTGGTAGGCAATCGACCTGGTTAGGTGCCGGTGGCAAGTTCTAACCTGCCTTCTGTGAGGTCGTTATTTCAATGTCAGGCCCATTTTTGAAGGCTCTGTCATGTTATTTGGATTTGTCTCATGTCTGTGCTATTGAGTGGCCAGTCTGGGGCCTGGGCTGTGTCTGTGTCTACGTTCAGTTCTCCAAGTCTCTGGTTTGCTACCCAGGCTCAGGAGAGAAGCCCAGAGGTTTATAACCAACTCTACAGGACTGTCTCCCCAACCTCCCTCCATAATCTCCTCCGCACTTTCTGGTTCCCTGTGTCCCCCTCCTTGGTCCTAAAGCCCCAGCTTTCATTCCCTCTCTCCACTGAGCACTTCCCACAAATTCACTCTCGGTAGGGCCCAGCCACGGGAGGAGAAAACCAGCAAGAGGGTTTGTTTGCTGCACCCTCTTGAGACCACAGCTCTTCCAATTGGAGAGGTCCCCCACACCCTCAGAATTTTAGGCACCTGCAAGTCCCCACTGGTGTCACTGTCATTGCCAGGAGACCCCTTTCCTGCCTGGAGAGTGGGAACTGGAAGTTTCCTTCTGACGCAATGTCTTTGTGCCACTGCCCACACCTTGAGTCTCTGCCAGGAAACAGCTGAGGACAACGCAGTGCTAACCTCACTCCTGATCCGGGGCTTCTTCTTCAACGCACCTGTTACTATTTACTTTCCAGGGTCTTCCAATACCTGCTCTTTACATTCCACCCAGGCTTTATGGCTGCGGCCCAGACAGGGTCAGGGGTGCGGACACCACTGTACCCAGAACCAGAAGTCTGAGTGCATTAGAGCGTGTATAAAACATTCACGAAAAACATGGTGTCGTGCATTGACCTAAAATACACCTAATAATGTTACTTAACTGTAATTGGATTTAAAGTGATGCGGACTTGGCTTATCTTTTCAAACTTTACGAAGCACTTTGAAGAGCATGATTTGTAGAATCCATT